GGGGTCCTAGGAGAAGGTGGGAGCTCATAAGAATAATATTTTGAAATGGCACCCCCCAAAAACCAAACGGGACACCAAGTAGGGTGGAAAGGTGACTTTAATATGTATTCGATAAATAAAATAGAGGCAGTTGTTTATCAGGAACAGGCTCCAGAGAATATGCTGTGCCTATCAGTGGATGCATGCTAGAGAATAGCATTGTACAGTTGGAAGGTGTCGAATTAATGAGACCTTTAGTAGCTGGCTTACATTCACATTTATAGGTAGGTGAGATAAATAGCGCTTATTAATGGATTACACCAGAAGGGAAAGAAGTCTGGCTGAGCCATAAGCTGGCACAGATCAGAGTACTGCACTGAACAAAGCTGATTTCACTCCCTCAGGCTGCACGTCCGATGAGGAGCAGGCATAGCAGGGAATGGAGAGCCACATGAATTCCCAGATCCGAATGTCCTTATTGTGTGGGTGACACCTCAAGAACTGAGCCAATGGCTGGGGAAGTCTTATTGTAACACATTGAAACCAGAGTTCTCAGAGCCAGTAGCAAACAGGATTACAGAAACTGCAGCCTGTGTGTAACCTTAAGGTCCCCCCCCCCCCTTGACTGAATGTTTTGGTGGAGCTGGGAACAATAAAAAGGCACACAAGCTATCTTTTTTGGAAATCTTTTGTGTTTTAGGCTAATATCTCTTTTGCCTGTCTCCAGCCATAGTGTATCCTAAAAGACTGTATGCAGCTGGCCGTGTCTTTGGTAATAGATAACAGGGCCGATTTTTGCTTCCCACAAAGCTGTTTTGCATCTGTTCCGCTCCTCCCCGCAAGCCCTAAGCTCCCTGCTTGCTTAGTGAGCAAGTCACCTGCTGCCCTTTCTCTGACATGCTCCCCCACCCTTTCTCCTCTGTAAGAATGACACGCTGTTCTGTCACTTTTGGGAGGAGATAATCCTCCTTGGTCAAGCCACCTGACCCGCTGACCTGGTAATCCAAATCCATAGCAATAGCCCAGCCCCTGTGCCTCCTACCCTGGTGCCCAGGTTTCTTTTCTGGCGGGTGGGAGACAGGCCAAGTCAGCAACCATGAAGATCAAGCTTGCAAGTAGGTGAGTGCATGCGTGTGTGTCTGTGGGGGGGGGGGGAATGTGGGTGATTACTAATCTCAGACACCCCAGCATGGGGGGTAGGGGAGGCAAAGCACCAGTTCCCGTCAAAGCTTCACTGAAGACAAGATCTGGCTGCGTATCCTGTTAGAATAAATAAGGGGGCCAAGATGCCGTTCCTGATAGCGTCCAGGTTTCAAGAACTGGGGTTGCTTAGTAGCTAGGCATGCAAGCCAGGCGGCTCAAACCTTGCTATGACCACAAACTCACGTGGTAGTTTTAGGCAAGCTGCTTGCTCTCGGTCTCCCATTGGCAACCCCCCCCCCCCAGCAGTGTAATAATACTTGCCTACCTTATAAGTTCTCGTAAGGATTGCTGTGACATGGCACTCCTGATGTGCCAAAACTTCAATGCTTAGTTTCTATTCTATATTATTTGATTATCCATAAATTCATTTCTGAGTATGCTGATGCAGAGAAGGTGACACATTGGAGGGGAGGAGGTCCTGTACCATCGATGAGGGTCTCCAGGCCGCTCAGTTCTTGTGGAAAATTAGCAGCGGGTCAGAACTCAGTCCCCCGTAACCGTCATGAGCCCAGGGTTATGAGTTGTCCTCTTGTGCTGCCAAGGAATATTTTTGGCAGGAGGATTAGTGTGCAGGCAGAAGCTGGGGTGTGGGTGCCTAAAGGGAAGCAACCCAAAGCCCTCCTGTGTTGTTCTGGGCAGAGGAGGTAAAATGAGCTTGCTAGCTCTCTTGTGCTGAAGGCAGCTTGCACCCCTTGCAGCAACTAGAGAGCTTTGGCGTCTTTTGACATGGAGGTTTTTCCACACTGTGAGTGCTGACCTTCAGCAGCCAAGCTTCCTTGTTTTCCTTTTGTTGTCTCGCCCTATTTTCTTTACTGTTTCTTTTTGCTTTCTCAAACCACCTTTGATCTGATTTGAGAAGGCACAGGGAAAACAACAAAGAAACCACGGAAGGACAACAGATGCAAAATGGGGACATGAGGAAGCTTGGAGAAAAACCACTGCAGGTCAGCACCCAAACCACTGGAAAGCTTCTGTGTGAAAAGACCCTTGGACTCCTCTGCCGTCTCTGTGATGGCTTTGTGGCCAGTGGCAGGCTGAGCCACCCTCTGGCTAGGAGCTGTGATGGAAGCGCAGGTGCCTTGGGTTCTCTTCAGTCACGGGGCCAAACTACACCTTTGGGTTTGGTGTAGTGGTTAAGAGCGGCGGACTCTAATCTGGAGAGCTGGGTTTGATTCCCCACTCCTCCACATGCAGCCAGCTGGGTGACCTTGGGTCAGTCACAGTTCTCTCATAGCTCTCTCAGCTCCACCAACCCCACAGGGTGTCTGTTGTGGGGAGAGGAAGGGAAGACGATTGTAAGCCACACTGAGTGAAGGGCAGGGTATAAATCCAATCTCTTCCTCTTCCTCTTCCTCTTCCTCCTCCTCCTGTTCTGTGCAGCCGCACAGCAGCTGTGGGGAATGGCTTTTTATAAATAAAGAAGAGCCCCCTGACCTGGATAGCACAGGCAAGCCTGATCTCGTCAGATCTCGGAAGCTAAGCAGGGCTGACCCTGGCAAGTATTTGGATGGGAGACCTCCAGAGAATACCAGGGCTGGGAGGTAGAGGCAGGCTATCAAGCCACTTCTCTGAATGTCTTCTGTGCCCAATAGGACTCACCAGAGGTCACCATGACTTCCAGGAACGGGCGCGCGCACACACACACACACAAAATGCAAAAAATACCCAAAGATAAAATAAATAAAGGAGAGCCCATATGGGTTCCGTAGTCCACCACAGGGGGAGTATGGGCTCCTGTTTCCCCACCGCCAGAGCCATTTTCATGTGTGGAAACAGCCCTGTAAGGAAACTATTTCCCCATTTTTGCTGCTCTACATGGAGTATTCTGTGCATAAAAAGGTAAAGGTAAAGGTTCCCTTGCTCGAAAGCCAGTCGAGTCCGACTCTAGGGTTGCGGTGCTCATCTCCATTTCAAAGCCGAAGAGCCAGTGCTGTCCGAAGACGTCTCCGTGGTCATGTGGCCAGCATGACTAAACACCAAAGTGCACGGAACGCTGTTACCTTCCCACCGAAGTGGTACCTATTTATCTACTTGCAATGTCTTGCTTTCGAACTGCTAGGTTGGCAGGAGCTGGAACTAGAGATGGGAGCTCACTCCGTCATGTGGCACACTTGGGTTTCGAACTGCTGAACTACCGACCTTCCACAGCCTGCAGTTCAGCGTCTGTGCATATAGAACAGCAAAAATGGGGAAATAACTCTCTCCCCCAGCACTCTTTTGGCCTGGGGAAATGGTTTGGATGGAAGACAGGTGCCCTCCCTCCCTCCATGTTGGCACTCTGAGCCCATTTGGGCTCTCCGTTATTTTGAAAAAGCCCATTCCCCACAGCTCCTTTGTGGCTCCCTCTAAGGTGTGGAGTCTTGTGAGCAAAAATTCTACTCTGTGAGTTACTGGCATTAAAGTTGTGAGGGAGCGATGTGGCCACTGCATAAATTAGTTTGCTCTGGAGCCATCCTTCCTGATGCATGAGCCAGAAGCTAAATGCGTGAGCCAGAAGCTAAAAAACTATGAGCTAGCTCACACTAACTCAGCTTAGAGGGAACACTGGCTGAGAGGAGCATAAGTTGAATCCGGGCAACCCAGATCCAACTAGTTAAAAACCCAAATGTGTAGTTTTGCCCACAGACTAACCTAATCAAGTGGGTACTCACTAAGGATTAGCAGGGATGTGTATGGATTTGTAGGAACGTACTCTCCCCGCTTTTCTTGAGTTGAGACTTTTGTGTGTGAATGAGTGCAGTTGGTCATCTCTGAAGTACTGGACATCCCGTGATTCTCAGGGAAGCGCTGGAGAATAACCTGGAAGCTGCTGGGATTCTGGCCAGTAGCTGTTGGCTTTTTAATTTTTTTTAATCCAACATTTCAACCTCAGTTGCCTCCAAAAGTGGTTCACAGGCATTTTTTAAAAAGTACAAATGATGTTATAACTCAGTACAAATGTCTTTTGGAGAGGGGACTCTCAGCTAGGGCTGGATGCCCAGGGGTCCCTGGCTGCTTCCTGCTCTCCCTGAATGACCCCATCAAGTGTCAATTACAAAGGGGAGGGTGGCGGAAGGTCCAACCCCTGTGGAGTCTATGACTTCACTGCTGGCAACTGGGCAAGTTTTCTCCAAACATTTGTTTGGATTTAGTTCCTTCTTATTCATTTTGTGCATATATTTGGTTATTTTATTTGGATTACCTCTTCCCCCCTTTGCTGATTTAAGGGACAGCCAACTCAGTGAGAGTAGATGCACTTAGGTTTTTATGTTTTTCCGCAAACCTAGGGACTACCCTAGCATTATACTGTATCTAAGAACACCACACCCAGCTTGGCAAAAACATATAGGTGCCATACCTTGCAGATGTCACTTAGATACATGATCCCCTCCCCACTCCCAAGGTCGTGCACAACACTAACAAACCACTCCTTTAAATCTTTTTTTTGGGGGGTGTGTGTGTTATATTTTGTGTGAGTGTGTGTGTGTGTATGCGCGCGCACCAGGAAGTCATGTCATCCTCTGGTGACTGACCCCCTACTGGGGACCTGGAGGATATTCAGAGAGGTGGCTGAATAAAGCCTGCCTCTGTCCTCCTGATCTGGTATTCCAAGGAGGTCTCCCACCCAAGTACTAACCACAGTCAACCCTGCTTAGCTTCTGAGATCTGATGAGATTGGGCTTTCCTGGGCTATCCAGATCAGGACACTAACAAGCCACTCTTTGCTTAGAGTGTGTCACGGTATCTAAATGCAGCCACAGCGTGAAATGTGGGAGCCTACACTAGATTTTTTTTAAATGTCTAATCTTAATTCAGGACCTTTCTCTTTTCTCCTGCAGGGTTCCTGCCCTCCCAGTCAAGAACTTGAATGGAACTGGCCCAGTCCACCCTGCCTTGGCAGGTACAGGTGACATAGCTGACACTACAATGATGGCCTCTAGATATTTGGAGGTGGAAGAGCACTGGCTAAGCGGTGGGACTGGAGGACGGGATGGGCTTGGCATCGCCCAGTCTGCTTGGTGCTTTATTTGTAATATGACAAGCTGAAGGACATCACAATTCTCCATACTTCTCTGACATTTTGGTCAGATCACCGAGCCAGTTCCAGGGGGCAGCTGATGTCAAAGAGGACATTGCTGTCGCTGGAGAGCCATGCTTCATGGGGAACAGACTGAAAATATGCTTGTCTTGATACTAGATACGTATCTGGTCTTGCCTCGGAAGCAAGCCAGTCTTGGAGCTTCAAAATTAATGCTGTAGAAATGGACAAATTTCATAATCCTTGAGTAGTTATCGGGCAAAATCAGGCTGTGCCAGGAGGTAGCACTGTGGTCTAGATTTCAGTCCAAATTCTGGCAATTCAAATTTTGCCCAGTAAAATAACCTGGATTCTGTGACTGATTTACATTGTACAAATTAATTATATATTTCCTATTTGCATAATTTATTCTGTTTCGCAAGGGGTGGGCTGCTGAGATATCTCCCCCTATGACCACTAGAAAATTTTATTCAGCCATCCATCTGGATTCTAATATTTTGAGCAGGTGTTGCCTCCACACTTTCAAATGTATTTTACATGCATATGGACTAGAAACTCGCCCTTTTAAAAGTGATGTGGAAGCTAACATTCTTCGAGAGCTGAATTCTGCAGCCAGTAACAAAATTCTGCATCTCTCTGGAGCTTGGTGCATGGCCTCATCACTTCCATGCCCCCCTTCTGTCTTGTTTCAATCACTCTTCCTTTTCTCTGGCCCTAGGAATGACAGGAATCTTGATGTGCGCTGCAGGTCTGCCCGTTTGCCTCACTCGAGCTCCAAAGCCCATCCTGCACCCACCACCTGTCAATAAGAGTGACATGAAGCCAGTGCCCGGTATCAACGGCATTTGTCGGAAGACCAAAAAGAAACATCTGAAAAAGAGTAAGTGGGGCCTTTGTATATGCCGTTCTCTCCGTAAGCCACCTACCTGGACTTTTAATAAAAAACTCAGCTAAATGTGATTGTCAGCATTCTCTTGGGTTATGTCTGCAAGCAAAAGGGGAAAATCTATATTTATTTTTAGGAATCCATAAAATGTACCTGGGATGGTCAGCATTCTTCTTTTGATCTCATTTGAATGAGGAGCAGCTGTCACTAACTGTGGCAGACTGATGCAGTTTAAGGCTTCTTGATGTGTATGCAGTGTCTATATAGACTTTAACGTCTGACCTCAAGGGAGCAATTGCTTTGCCCTAGAATGTGGGGCAAGTCATCATTCAAAGAATGGCATTTCCAGTTCTCTGAGGATTTTGCCAGGTTATTTTTTTCCCTTAAAAAGACACCTGTAATGCTCCAGTGAGGCCTTCTGCACCATGATCTAAATTGAGGAGGGATGTTCTTAGTGGGTCACTGTATTCTGCCAGCAATGGTCTGGGGACCAGAGGTGCATTTCCCTGCCAAGGTGTAGCTGTCATTGGATGCAGTCTCCGAGGGAGAAAGGAATATAGCAGTGGCTGAGAAAGAGAAATTATTTGGGCTTTTGATTGAATCTTAGGGGAGGCAGGCACAAGGCCCTCCCAGCCTTCCATTTTCCATGCTATATGAAATGATGGGGTGTTCAAAATGTCTTAAAAGTTCGTGTGTGTGGTGGAACCAAAATGAGTGGAACCAACCGGCATTGCCTTTTTCTGAGTAAAAAATGAAAGGGGTCTGGGGAATGGCCATGTCTAGTAACAAGCTTGTTCTGCCCTGTCTAGGCAAGAACCCTGAGGATGTAGTGAGACGTTACAGCCAAAAAGTGAAGAACCCCCCTGATGAGGTGAGTCTTGCTTCCCACATGCAACCCCATCCCATACAAGGTGGGAGGTATAGGAAGAAAGGTCGAGGGCATGGAGTCAGCTGGCTTAGTCCACACTTGTGAAACCGAATCTGATCTCACACTTCTCCATCTAGAGGCAACAGTTTATTGTCATTACCCAATTACTATCCCCCTCCCTGAAAAAGTAGAATTTTAATGGGTGTGTTTTGTGATGATAGAAACCAAACCTATTGCTAAAGATGGGGAGAAAAGACAAATCTGTTTAGAAACTGTATGCAACTAAAAATATCTGGTGTGCAAGTCACATGTTATTGTTAAGTCGCTCACTTAACAAAGCAGTTGGAGAGTGATTCAGCAAGAACACAACTTTATTCTTCAACTCGAACACAACTCCAACACGGATCAACATCTGATAGCCAGAACAGCCTTTACATTGCAGCTGTCCTGCTTTTAAACATTCCCGGCTAATATAGCCACACCCACTGTACAAATACCAACCAATAAGGTTGTTCACATAAGGACCAATCACGGATGTTCCCGCTCAGGGAGCTTGCTTGAAAGTGATTGGTTAGGTGCTTCCTGGGCTAGTAACACGATTGGATGGATTTGGATCCTAGCCCAGGACGAAGCTTTACATTACACTTCAATTAGATGTTCCACAATATATCATGCATTCAAGGCAGCCTTGAATACACTACAGTTATGGTTGCCTTGAGGATGTCATCCAAAATGGCCTTACTGCTTAAGAGGAGGAGGCCATTTTTGGTGGCATATTTGTGGCTGCTGTAGTATGTATTCCTGTCCTTAAAGACATTGCTTGAGAAGCTTAGTATGTCACACGGGAAAAGTAGATTCAGGTGAGTAGCCATGTTGGTCTGAAGCAGCAGAACAAAGTTTGAGTCCAGTGGCACCTTTAAGACCTTGAATAAAACTTTGCTGGTCTTAAAGGTGCCACTAGGGCTGCCAAATCCCCCCGGGGGGCGGAATTCCCCCCTGCTTTGGAGCCCCGATTTCCGCCCCAGCGGAATCGGGGCCCGGGGGAAACCCCACCCCCACATGCATGTCACTTTCCTGTGACGTCATCGTGCTGGGGCGGAGCACAGCCATTTGAGGGGAAAACATAGAGTTTTCCCCTCAAATGGCTGTGCCCCGCCCCAGCGTGATGACGTCACAGGGAAGTGACGTGCATTCGGCGCGCGCGCGCACCAGGAGGCAACACAAAGTCCCCCGCCGGCACAGGTGAGTACATTTGGCAACCCTAGGTGCCACTGGACTTGAACTTTGCTCTACATGGGAATAGTGTTCCACTGCTCACTACAAGTGGCAGTCCCCCTACAATAAACTTGCCTACAATACTTGTCTACAATAAACAAAATAACTGTTCCAGATAGAAGACTCGGCAAAACCATTTCCCCTGACATCTAAGGGGCAAGCTACTGGAGACGTTATCCCTGTTCATACGTTACAGTGAACACATGTACATCCTGCCTGTCTGTGTGTATAAGTCTGATTGTAAGAAAGAGCCAAGATGTATTTACTTTACAAATGAAACTGGGGACCAATACCTGGATTCATGAAGGGTCTGTATCAAATAGTCAGGTCTGTATGTGTGGACTGTAACATGAAAATTACTCAGTGTACGTACGAAAATAATCAAGTGCACACTGCACACAGATTGGATGGGTGTTCACTGTGACTTGTGAACACAGATTTTGGGGATATCTGTTCAGATCTCCAGACATGCAATTCTGCTGCTGCTGCTGCAAAAACAAAACAACAACAAAAACAAAGAACTATGGGGACCATGATGCTGGGATGTAGCCGGCTGACTTTCCACATCACTTCCATCATTAAAAAATTTTATATTTGTTTTTATTTATTAAAGTGTGTAAATCCCACAATTTTTTCTCTACAACATGACAGCACAATTCTGGAGAGGCTGGTGTCCTCATCCGGCTATGAGGGTATTCTGAGGCACAAAGGCATAAAACCAGAGCTGGTGGGGAAGTTGGGGAAATGTGGGCACATGTACCACCTCCTCTGCCTGGTTGCGATGTACAATAATGGAAATAAGGTAAGAAGGTCAGGGAACAGGGTGGGGGAGAGGGCATGACTGATCTTCTCTGTGCCAGCCAAAATGCATCTGTTTGCTTTTTTAGTCAGAACAGGGATACAGCAAGGATGAGAAGCTGTCTTATCCCAAGGTCAAACTAACATCCTGAGTCATCGGCTGGCAGGTAGTAACTCACCTAGGCTCAAAACAGAGATGAGACAAAGATCATGCATATATTCTATAAAATTCAAAAGGCCAGTTTGTGCAGCCTCAGGTTGCCTTGAGGTTGTGCAGGATAGGGAGAGGGAAGTTAACCCTCTCTGTTTCGCAGTTCAAAACTAGTTCACCCACACTAGCATTTTAAAGGAAAAGATTGTTAAAGGACATCGTGACACATGTGTTTAACATACCAATTGTGGCTCAAGGGAGCTGGTATCACATTCTGCATCTGAATTGAGACTAAGGATACTTTCCTTCTTTGTATAGCTCTGAGGCAAATTGAGGCTACACGATGCAGCAGTTTGCATTTTGTAGATTTTATTTATTTATTTATTTATCATATTTGTATCCCACCCTCCCCAATGAGCTCAGGGCGGCTAACAAGGGCAAGGTCATTTGCCATGCCATAGGTAAAAACATAAAACATAGTAAAACATCCAACACTAAAACCACAGTACTCAATCCATTACTAATATCCTAAATCCAAGATGGTAACACCGCAGTTCCAGATGGTACTCCCATAATATACGTGTCCAATGGCGTCGGCTTGTCAGATCTTCAATAGTTTCCAGGTTCTTCCTCGGGCCTCGTCGATGCATCCTTTAAGATACCTTGACGGTGGTGGTATAATGGGGTGGTGGCTCCTACTCAAAGGCCTGGCGGAAGAGCTCCGTCTTACAGGCCCTGCGGAACTGCACAAGGTCCCGCAGGGCCCGGATCTCCCCCGGGAGCTTGTTCCACCAGGTAGGAGCCGCCACCAAAAAAGCCCTGGCTCTGGTCACAGATGGACCAAATACATGTTCTGAGAGGGCACAGAGACAGCTGGCTTAGACGATGCTTGTAAAACTGAATCTTGAAAGCTAAACCAGTGCTTAGGATGGAATATGGGCTTTCTAGATGAAAGGCATGCGCTCGACCACCAAGCCAGCAGTTTTCAAACTGTGTTCCTAAAAAGTCTGGAGTTTCCTTTGAAGTTGTATCAGGCCTTTCATCAGTGAGAAGATCAATAGACTAGTTTTCCTGGAAGACAGCTTGACCAATGCCTATTATTATAGATTTTGTTCTGGAATGCCCGGTCAAAGAGAAGGGTTCGGTGTGTCTACGTGGCTCAGTGATGAGATCCCCCACAGATCTGGCCTGGTGCTCCTTAGGACACACTCCAGAATCTTCTGCAGTTCACAGGGGGTTCTTGGCTAAGGTTATTGCAGAAAGGGTTCCCTGAAAGTTTGGGCCTCTCACCAGAGCGATCTCATTGTGTTGGCTTAGCTAGTGGTGGGAAGGTGTAGTCCACGTTCAGTTCTTTCGCTCCTAATCCCTCTTTTCTCTTTCTGTGTGAAATGGGTAGGATGCTAGCCTCTTCTTACAGAAGCCCCTTGAGGTCCATGGCCAGGAAGTCCCCAGAGAATTAGCTTGCCTCCTTCCCTGTATTTCTCCCTTTCTTTCAACAGGATGGCAGTCTGCAGTGCCCCACCTGCAAAGCCATCTATGGGGAGAAGACCGGGACTCAACCGCCAGGGAAAATGGAATTCCATATTATCCCACATTCGCTCCCCGGCTCCCTGGACTGCAAAACCATCCGCATTGTGTATGATGTTCCTGCCGGGATCCAGGTGCGAGAGGAAAAGAGCTGTGGGGCAGAGGGAGGAAGAGCAATGTTGGGGGCAGGGGGTTGCCTATGAAGCTGCCTCTTAGATCTGTCCTCTGTTGGGGAGTGCTGGCACCTTGTGAAGGACAGTAACCTGGTTCAGATGTCACAGCCAGGCTGTAGTTTGGCTGCTGGAGCTGGGTGCTGGAATGCCTCTGGGAAGCACAAAGCTCCCATTGCACATCTGATACAAAGCCCCCGTGTCATCTAGCAACAAACATAAAGACTTGGGTAATGTGTAGTAGTGCAGCAGAAGCCGGGACAAGCCCTTCCCCTTCCCCTTTTACCTCAGCAGTCAAGCCACAGGGCCCTTGTCTTGCTGATCAGTCAACGTGGGTCAGTACTCACCTGCATAATACACTTGTTCACTTTGCTTCATCTTTGCTTCCCACCCCTTCCTTTCCCATACTCTGTTCCTTAGTCCTTACTGCCTGGGCCGGCTCCTCTTACTGCCTTGTCATATACCCAGAGATGGGTATATGGTTGGATTATTTTGTAGAGTCACGGGGGGGGGGATGCCTTTTGACCTCCTGAACCATCTCATAAGCTCTGTTTGCAGCTCTGGATCCTCCTTTCACCAGATTTCAGACCCCATAAATTCTGCACAAGGTCTACTTTAACACCACCAGCGAGGAGGTTCCTGGGCTTGGTCGTCAGAAGGAAAAAAGAATTAGGAAAGTCTGTGGGTTTTTTGTTGCTTGTAGGATGTGGGTAAAAGGAGAGGGCAGCTGCTATAGCCTAATTAACTGCTTCATTGTGGATTTGAAAGATATAACATTAATCTCTGGGTGGGGACCCAAACTCCCTGTGTTAGTGTGGTGGGGGTTCCTTATGATCCCTGCTGGTGAAGCACCTAATTCTCTGGGCTGTCTCTTAACCAGGGCCCAGAGCATCCCAATCCTGGGAAGAAGTTCACAGCACGAGGCTTCCCACGGCACTGTTACCTTCCTGACAATGAGAAAGGCAGAAAGGTAGGTGGTCACCTCCCCCGGTCCTTTCATCCCATGCAGTTTTCATTTCCCTTGCAGTACCATGTTTCCAGACTTCCTATGGAAATCCTGTTTTGCCTCAAAATGGATTTCCGGGAGTTTGCTGTAAGTTTTCAAGCATATGTCCAAAGCCCAAAAGGACCAGAACCTTGCCAGCTTTTTAAAAAAAACACATTCAGTATAATCCCAAGCAGAGTTGCACCCTTCAAAGGCCATTGACTTTAGTAGACTTGGAAGGGTGTAACTCTGTCTAGGTTTGCTCTGTTAAGATACCCAGGATGCTTGATATTGGATCTTACACCTACTTGGTGTGATTTGAGAAGCACAGAATACACAAGCAGTTGGAGTTGGGTTCCATCAGAATAGAAGTGAGATGGCAGGAGGAAGGAGTGACAGTCGGTGTCTGGTTAAGCATGTGACTCTCCAAATGAACTTGGATTTCATAGCAAATCTAGGCCCAAGACGTTTTGGTACCCCAGACACAAAATCTCTGCAGCATCCAACTTCCAATCCAATTCCCCTCTAAGCCAGAGATACCTATACAGGTAGATGGGAGGCATGGTTCAGTGAAAGAGCATCTACTTTGAGCACAGAAGGTCCCAGGCTCACTCTCCAGAATCTCCACTGAAAAAGACCAAGGTACTAGGTGATATGAAAGACCTCTGTTTGTGACCCCGGAGAGTCACTGCCAGTCAGAGTAGGCAACACTGGCCTTGATAGACAAATGATCTGACTCAGTATAAGGCAGCTTCCTGTGTATGTATCACCTATTAACAGTTTTTATTTGGATACGTTTACCAAAAAAACCCCAGTTAACACCAGTTCAAAAGAGAGTCCAAGATCAAAGAGGTCAAGACGCAGTGTTTCTAGATTCTTCATGGCATGGGTTGCGGATATCCAATTACCAAGGAATACAGGTCTGCCAGAAGGATCTAAATCTTTCCTTCTTTCTACACAAACTGACATCCATTTGATCTGTTATGTAACTGCTTCCATTCAGTGACCTCTGCACTATAAACAAAAGCTTTCGTAAGGGATAAATGAATGCTGCGTTTATTCACCAACAATATTTTTTTCTCCTAAAGAAGGCTTGCAGCAGCTTACAAAAAATGACTTACAGAAATATTTTAAAAATATGCAAATACTAAAAATACAGGTTATAATCATAATTGCAAATTATTTTGCATAGCAGGAATCAGACTTGATGAGACCTCTGGATAGCGTTCATATTTCCAGAAATTGTCTGTTTACTTGCCATATTTTGGGAAATGCTTCATAATTTAAAATTAGAGCATTAAACAAGAATCAGGCAGACCCACAGTACCTCATGAAACATCTGGCAAAACTCGTCCATCAGCAGTGGCATAGAGTAAGGACCACCTGGTGGATCAGTATACCTATCAGAGTCCACCTCTGTTTCAGAGGGGTTTTTGATTTCCTGTCTCTTGCCCAGGTCCTGAAACTCTTGATAGTTGCATGGGAACGCCGACTCATCTTTACCATTGGGACGTCCAACACGACCGGCGAATCCGACACGGTGGTGTGGAACGAGATCCACCACAAGACCGAGTTTGGGTCCAACCTTACTGGCCATGGGTACCCTGACCCCAACTACCTGGACAATGTCCTGGCTGAACTGATGGCCCAAGGGGTTTCAGAAGCCAACCTGAAGGACTGAGGAAGCATCTTGGCCCGCTCCTTTCCTCTCTCACCCTTTGCCATCTGCTGCGTGGAAGCGTGAACACTGCCTGCGTCTGTCTGCCTGTGTGTGTCTGTCTCTCTGCCTCTCCACCAGCACTTGGAATAGATCCCCCTCACTTCTCACGTTGCTTCCGCTGCCTTGACTTCAGACGATCTTCGCACAGCAATGCCAGGCTCAGTAGCCACAGGAGACCACGAGGATCCACCTCTCCTGCTGGACCAGAGTTGCCATTCTTATCTTTAGGTTTTCCCACTGAAGGGACAGTAAAGGGAGACCACAGGAAACTGCGCAAGTGAGCAACCAACGCAAACGCTCAGTTGTTTCATTTTTAAAAAAATATCCTTGGCAATCTGCAATATCCCTTCTGCCCTGACTGTAATATAGCACATTAATGTGCACACAGATGCTCTATATTACATATATTCCGTTCTTGTACAGGATATCCTATGTGATAGAAGAGATGTATGAAACCAGTCACGTGGCTGTCGGTGTACCGGCCCTCACTGTCTCCCCCTATGCTCCTCCCGTGCTCGTTCCTCTTGGCTCCTCATTCCTTCGTGTGGGGCCATTGTCACTTTGCAGGGAAGCAATAGGAAGGCATTCTGGTTTGGGAGACGAGAAAGAGGCACAATGGGTGAGGCCAGATGTCGAATTTTAACAGCAGGTTCTTCGCCCGCCGTTTGATCCCAGCTTTGCAGTTTGCCTTACACACATACATACCAGCAAGTTGAACACTGGCTCAGCGATATCAGTGTTGCCTCTCCCTTCACGCTTCAGGCGGACTGTCTGACTTTTGTAAAATTAGATTTTAGAGTGGCATATACCTGTGTGGGGTCCTTCCTGTGCCCTAGACTATCTCCCCAGGGCCTCAGC